TTTATTCTCTAGCAGAGTTATTCTCCCACCAATTTATTTTCAAATCATCTTCGACCGTCATCCCCAGCGGGAACGAAGAATTCAACTCTTTATATTCTCCAGCAGCAGTCCGAGATTTATTTTCCCCAGCTAAAGAACATCACAAGAACATTGCATATCCATAAATCATGATATGTGCATACGCATCACACAACACAATCTCATTTATTTTGAGAACATCATTGCTCAATACATTTCATACATCATGACATTACATACGACTAACTCTTTACCTTTCAGGGAAAGGTACAATCAAAATTCTCACAAGTTTTCTCTGGTTCAGTCAAATCAATGCTAAAGATTTCTATTCCAGTTCAAGCTATGAAGCTCAGATCCAACCGAATAGTATCTTGATTACTACATCATATTGTGAAGCCCGGAGAATGACCGAATAATAGTATCAAATACTGCGAAGCCTGGAATCGACCAGATATTGGTTTATCTTTAAGCTATGAAGCTCAAATTCGACCGGATAATAGTTTAATCCCCAACAAGTTACTGTGAAGCCTGGATTACGACAAGATAGCAGTACAAAGACACCATGAAGCCTGGATTCGACCAGATAGTGGAATATCATAAACACAAGCCGTGAAGCCCGGAAATCGACCGAATAACAGCTCAACATGTTATTGTGAAGCCTGGATTACGACCAGATAGCAATACAAGTTACTGTGAAGCCTGGATTACGACCAAATTGCAATTTTTGTCAAATGGGCCTAACCTTTTGTGCTTGTATTGAGTTTGTAACATGGTCAACGACCCATGATCCTTCCCACTTCCTTTATTTTATTTTTGTCATTTATTTTGATTTTTATTTCATTTAAATCAAATTAATCAAAATAAAATCATGAAAATATCAAAATCATTTAAACCTTGAGATTTTGTGCATATTTCAGGTCCATGAATAGCTGACAATAAGATCAAATCGTGCAAGGCTTGGTTGTACACAAAAATATTAGTTTTTGGCTTGTTTTAGAAAGATTTACACGAGAATCAAATCTTGATCAATGATCATTATTGGAAAAGATTGGATGCAAACTTGTAAACCTAATTCACTCAAGACTACATATAGAACAAATCCATACCAAAAGTAAAAGGGTTAGAGGCGTGAAAAGAGAAGGAGAACTTTCAAAAAATCAAGAAAAAGTGGCAATCTGATTTCATAGTTCCAGAATATTTCAAGCCTTCCAAGCTATCTCATTCGCTTCCTGGGTGTTCAAGGAGTCTATCCCAATCACCAACAAGCATTTTCGTGCCCAGAAATGCAATGTAAGTGCCTCACGGTATCCTTCCCTTTTTGAAATCGAATCTCATGAATTTGACATTGTTAGCATGATTGGTTTATATATTCTGAATCTTTGAAGCATTTGCAAGCTAATGGTAACAATTAATTGCATTTTTTCTAACCATACAGAGATCCATCATTGTTAGGTTTTCTTTGTTCGTTTTAGGGTTTTCTTATGCAGGTAAAATTGGCCCAAAAGAGAGGTACCATGATGTTCACAAGGCCAAGACGAATTGGTCTGTAGCATTAGTTTTTATTTATGGTGCGTGTATGAGATTTTGGAAATACGCAGGGCTATAGCCACAGACTTTTGTCTGTAGGTAAAAGTATGTGACTGTTACCAACGGAGGGAGGAAAAAGAAGGGTGGCGTGGCACCCCCTGACTGGCCCATTTGAAATTCGCGCGTTTTACAATATTGCTTTGCTTGTTTCCAATATAATATTTGTTGGTTATTCCATAGACAAACAGGTGCGCTAGCTCAGTTGGTTAATGGGCGAAGGAAATTGCCAAAAGACCTGGGTTCGATCCCCAGGTCCCCTTATTCTTCAATATTATTTTTCTATACATGTTTCCATGCGCAGGCTTCTAGGATATCCACCATAAGTCCTCAATGATCAGCCAGCCAGATGTCCAACAAACCAAATCTAACGCTTGGCACGTGAGGATCTACCAAAGGCCTAGTCAGACGTGCAACATGGAATCAGGAAGGTCAACGTGGACCAAGGCTTTTGGGCTCAAAATTTTCTAAGGACACCCCCCTCATTTGCCAGCATACCAGACCCAATTCTCTCTTTTCTTTTTTTATATTTTCTTTATTTAATTTATTTTGTTTAAGTTATTTTCTCACAAAAGTTAATTTCTTTTTTACAAAAACTCATAAAATTAATTTTCATCAAATTAGAATTTTAGTTTTTTTTTTATTTTGTCAAATTTAATTTAATTAGTTTATTCAATTTTAGGGCAATTTTAATTTTTTTGTGAATAAATTAAAACAAATTAGAAAATTAGGTTTATTTGATTTAATTTTTATTTTCTTTTCCTTAAAATAACCAAAATACAAAAATATGCCAAAATTAATTATTTTATTAATTAGTAATTAGGTTTGTACTTATTTTATTAAAACCTTATTTTTCCCAAAAATAATCAAAAACAACCAAAAAATGGCTTTTCTTTTAATTAGGTTAGACGGGGTCAAAACCCTAATTTTCTCTCGTTCTTGATTCATCGCGCGTTTGTTATATTTTTGCAAATATTTATGTAACTGCTCATGGGATGTAATAGTTTAATTAGGACTTTTCTTTTATTTATCATTTTACGGGTTTTTGGCTATGTAATTAATCCCCCTCCCTGAAACCTTGTAATAGCGTAGCTTTATTTCTCGCAAATATTAACTGTTAGATGTATGATAATAGGATTGCATGACAAGAATGTATGTTAATTTAAAATGATTAGCAAACCCCAAATGTGCAAAGATAATAATCTGAAATCAAATCACTTGCACATGCGCACTCATAGGATATACTCTCACTTCGGTTGCCTTCGGTAAACGATCATTAAGTATAGGGTGTTCTAGTGGTCCCTCTCTTGTCTAAACAAAGATCAAAAGTCCCATTCGGAAATGTTGCCTCATAAATGTTGTCTCGAATATGATCTTGAGACATTAGGGTTATTACTAAGACGTCCTAACATTGCTTTAGTGATCGTATGTCCCTTTCGAATTGACCCTTACAAACTCTAACGACGGTGATACCTATTCACTAATAGTGGGATAACGCTGTCTAAAGGAAACAAGAACAAAAACATTCTTTTTTCGAGTAGGTAGATGCTAGTAGGTACTTGCTCAAAATCAAACTTTTCCACACTTACACACTTTTCAAACAAAGTTTTCAAAACGACTTCGTAACACTCTTGAAGACAGAAGCAAGGGTTAAATCGAAGTAAAACAAAAACTTTTTTTCAAAACAAACACACACAAGTAATTTTTTAAAATGATGAGCAAGTACCTAAGAGCCCGTGGAAAACCATGGATAGAAAGGGTGCTAATACCTTCCCTTTCTATAATATACCCCCCATACTCAGAATATCTCAAAAAAAGGAATTTTTTTGTGCTTTTTTCCTTTCTAAGTTGGATAAAATAAAAGTCGGTGGCGACTCTTGCTTACCGCGACATTTTGCAAACACAAACGCAAAACGCAAACCAACATTTTCCTAAAACAGTCCGGTTCTGCCACCGTATCACACCTCTATATGATACATGTTTCACAAAACAAAATGAAAACACATATCCTTCATCGACAAGCTATGTACATCTTAACAAAATATTACCCGAGGGCGAATCTTACCTCTCATGGGTTAGATAACTCGTCTCAATATTATTCATCACAACATTATACACAACACATAATTTCTCAAAATTAACCTCTTAATTTACTTGAAGCATATATATATATATATATATATATATATATATATATATATATATATATATATATATATATATATATATATATATATATATATATATATATATATATATATATATATATATATATATATATATATATATATATATATATATATATATATATAGTGTAATTCTAATCCTCACTATTTATTTCTTATATTGATAACGTAATTCTAATTCTTATTAAAATATCAAAGAACCTATATATTTCCTTAAAGCATGTATGACTTAGGGGTGTCTTATTTTTTGTTGTGAACCCTCTTTATCTTATCTTCAAGGTTGTTGGGAAGATATGTCTCTGTCTAGCCTGTCTCTTATTGCGTTTGTCTCTATTTGAAATTCTTCTATACATTTCTTCATGTATCATCGTTATATCAACATTTCAATTTCCTTCTTTAGTTGTTAACAACTATCGGTACCGTGTCTCTTTATCCAATGAAAAGAACACCCATAACTTTGGTTACGATCCATCTTGACTTTTGGCCAGTCTTGTGTGTATTAGTGGTGTATATGGGTTGAATCAATCAACAAAATTTGGTCAAACCCACCCAAAAACTTCAAAAAAAGGGTTGGATAATTGAGTGAATATGAGTTTAAAAACTAAAATACTCATTAAAAAAACCGAGTTACGGGTAAAACCGCATCCAGACTCAAAAAAATTTATTGACCTACTAATCAAACATTTACAATTTTTATGATTTTAATGAATGTTAAACATTTACAATTTTAGTCTCTTGAACATTTACTATTTTAGTGAACCATGACTTAAACTAATTTTAGATGTTTCACTCTTTGTTCCTGTTGACTACTCATATCGTGGTTTTGTTGAAGTTTGCGAGATAATCTTTGAGGATTTTGAAATGACATTTACGAATATTGAACAAATTCATGGCATAAACAAAAAAACGATTTTTTTAATTATTTTATAATTTTTTTAACGTATCAAGTGAAATTACAAAAATATTTTTAAAAATCTAAAATATATTTCTGAAATGCATTAGAATTTAATATAATGTTAAATAAAATTGGAAATTAATTTTTTACTTATATTCAGATTTATATTTCCGATTTTGTACTAGATAGAAAACTCAAAAACAACTTTAAATAATACCGATTCTACACAGATTTATTCTAGGCACAAAGACAAATTTTCTTAGAAAACATAGTGAAAGCAAAACAACCCTGTTTCTCATACTTGAATTGCACCACCAATGAACCACTCCGATCCTCCTCCCATTCAATTCAACTCACCACCCCTCTCTCTAAGCCTCTTCGACGCCGAACCATCCGCACCCCAACAACCAAACGGCGTCGTTCATGGATCTACTCCTCCCCACCACTCCGACCCCGCAAGTCCCACCAGCAGCACCGCCACAAGCTTCTCTCATGAAATTGAGGAATTGAGTATTCACGATCCTCCATCCGTCACTAACGATTCCAATGCTGCTTCGTTTCCTCGTAAACGACATCTCGATGAGGTATTATATGTGTCTATCATTCTCAAAATCGCTTTTGAAGTTCTCGATTATTAAACTGAATTTACCTGTAATACCACATCATGTTTGATTAATGAATAAAGTGCAGGATGATGGTTCTACTTCATGGAGGAAAAGAAAGAAGCACTTTTTTGTTCTCAGTCATTCTGGAAAACCAATATACTCTAGGTTAGTGTTTACCGACTCAGTTACTGTTCATGTATATCTATGATTTCTGCTCTGTTTTTTGTTTCACACTTTTGTTTTTACTACCAGGTATGGAGATGAACACAGGCTTGCTGGTTTCTCAGCAACTTTGCAAGCAATCATTTCCTTTGTTGAAAATGGGTATTGTAACTGCCTTTGTTCTGGTTAATTATAGCCTGGTAGATTTTAATTACAAAAATATTCTTGAATCTATTTGATTCCCTGTTTTATGTAATTTCAGAAGGATTGTTCAAATATTTTTTTCTATGTTTTCAGGGATGACCGTGTCAAATTGGTGAGGGCCGGAAAACATCAGGTCTGGTCACACATTTTTCTCTTGTAAAAGTTTTTCTTCTTAGATATATAGTTTCGTTCGAGTATTATTTCCTAATAAGCCGCACTTCAAGCTCACATAACTAGTATCGTGTTATGCATAATGATATTCTGATCCATGCTTTACTTTTAAGTGTAAGATAGAAATACTGGATGTATGTTTTGCTTTTGGTTGCCGAGTTTCTCATATTATGTTCATTAGTAATTTTACGGAAAGAGGATTTTATTTATTAGGTACTTCTGGAGCAACAGAATGATTTGGTATTGTGAAATCTTAATTAGTTTAAGTTGTGGCACAGGTGGTTTTTCTTGTGAAAGGACCAATCTACTTAGTATGTATCAGCTGCACAGAAGAGCCTTATGAGTCCTTAAGAGCGCAATTGGATCTCATTTACGGCCAGGTATAATTGAGCTGGATGTTTGTGTACACAAAATTATGGGTTCATTTACTTTCTCATGATTCCTCCATCTTCATCTTTTGTGTTTCTGAATTAACTATTACATCTCTTTTTTAATCATTCAGATAGACTAGTAATGTTGTGACAATTATATGATACATCCATAGTTTTTTACATATGCAGATGATTGTTATACTGACAAAGTCAGTAAACAGATATTTTGAGAAGAATCCAAAGTTTGATATGACGCCCTTGCTTGGTGGAACAGACACTGTCTTCTCTTCACTAATCCACTCTTTTAATTGGTTTGTTTCTCTAACTTGGCAGTTTGTATTTTTGTCTTAAAGAAGAAATAATAAAAATATTTTATCCAAGATATGGGGGTGTGTTAGATGCTTTTTTGGTTGTTCGTTTGTTTGATGTGTCTGGTTTCCTATCACCCTATGCTATACTTCAGTAGTTAGCATTGTTATTTGTTTGATCATATCAGGAATCCAGCTACATTTCTTCATGCCTATACTTGTCTACCTCTTGCATATGCAACAAGACAAGCTGCTGGTGCCATTTTGCAAGACGTTGCTGATTCCGGTGTTTTGTTTGCAATACTGATGTGCAGACACAAGGTTTAACACTATACTTAATTTGTTAAGTTATATGCAGACATAAAATGATAAAATAACTCGTTAAAGGTTGAAGGCAGGTAATCAGTTTATTCGGTGCTCAGAAAGCTTCTCTTCATCCAGATGATATGCTGCTACTGACCAACTTTGTTATGTCAACAGAGTCATTTAGGCAAGTAGAACTGGCATTATTTTATCTTTATATTAGCATCTCAGAGATGATTTAATGGCATAGTTTTCTGTTAGTACAATCTATAAGACTATATATGACTTGTTTTGTTGATTCTGAAATTCTGGTACAACAGACTCAGATGTCCTATAAGGACGTCGAGATATCTGATCTGACACAAACACGTAGGCAAGATAAAACAGTACTGAAAAGATAAAGAACACACCAGAATTATTTATCCAGTTCGGTGTACAACAACACCTAATCTGGGGGCTACCAAGCTAGGAATGAAGTCTATTATCAGCAGTATCAATTTGCAGACCTTACAGCCAACACACCCGTTGATGATTTACGCACTTAATCACTACCCAATGACCCTTCTACCTAGGTCCTCCCTAGATATGGAATATCCCCATCCCACTTTCAATCATCACAATGATGTCTAGCAGTCAACACCTTAGTCACTACATCGACGACCCTTCACCAAGATTCTGATCACACAGATAGATAGTTTGGAAGACACACTTCCAGCACAATCTAGCTAAATCTCCAAGTCAAACTCCACTGTTTGTTAGCTTTGCTCCTAACACATCCTGGAGTTGCTTCAAAGCTTCCTCCAAGAACAATACACCTCTTACCTACAGGCTTCGATGTGAACATGGTAACCTTACCACAATCCGAGAGGTTTACCTTGACAAAACCCTAGACTTCTACATCTTAAGCCGTGTCTTTTCTAGATTACAAACCCTTCTATTTATAACCTGTTACTCAACTGGTTTAAGGTCTTCAATTACAGCAAATCAACTGTAACAAACTGGAGAAACTTCTGTCCCAAAAAAGGTCTTCAATCTTTAGTTTCCTAAATAATCTCCTTATTTAGAAAGTCTTCATTCTCCTTGATTTCTGATTGAATTTTCTAGACCTTTAAATATGCGCCACATAAGATGCATAATATTCTCCTGAATATTCTGCCTCTGTTAAGAATAAACTGAATCTCATTAATCTAGCTCAGCAGGCGCGATGTCGAAGACATCTTCTTTGACATGTTCCAGTTGTTGAAAAAGTTCAACACAACATGTTCTGATATTGTAATAGGACTTCTTGTTGTACCCCTTCTTCTTAGCAAGTTTATACATCCTATTCTACATTACATTATTGCTGCTATTATTTGTTTTACAAAAATTAAGCCAATCCTAAAACAAGAAAACTAACAATCTCCCCCTTTGGTAAATTTTGGCTAAAACAAATAATCTAAAAAAAATTGTAATCTAGGAGATTACAGCAATAGAAAAATATAATCCTCGGCAGTAGTGTTCAGAAGCTACTGCACACAGCAATAGATATTCAGTTGAAAATAATGTCTCAGCATCTTGTTCGACATCTTCTTTGCAGAACTCTGAAGAACTCAATTGCCTCAGCACCAACGAGCAGCAACTTCAGGATAAAAGGAAGGAAAGTTCTGAAGTTTGGTTGATGCACACGAGGAAGAAGATAGCAGAAGACAACTTATACTCCCTCTCAATCCAGGAACATCTTCTAAACATAGAAGACCAATGGTGGAATAAGAGAACTCTTAATAACTCCTTAAGACTAAATCAACCACCGCCCCTGATAACTCAGAACACAGATCACAACTATGTTCATAACTCGGATCACAGGTCACAAAGGACAGATCCAAACAAATACATGATAGAACATTTGATTCGACATGTTTGGACACTATCTCCTATCTAAGCAAAATCTTTCTCCTCCCTTTTTGACCAAAACTTGACAAAGGAGGCTTTCACAGAGCCAGACCCAGGCACAACTTACCTAGACCTGAACAAAATCCATTGTGGTGATGAGAACAACACTCACTTGGTATTTAGAGGATATGAGAAGCCTCTATAAATAGCAGAGCAGTTTCTTATAAATTAACAATCTTTAATTCTTGGTCAAATAAGCGATAATTGAGGATGAAAAAACTGCTGCGCAAATCAATATGCACTGTCCAACCTGACTTTGAACACCTTTAATAGCTCTAGACAGTTTCTGCTAAAAGAATCAGTCCCAATAAACGCACATTCGTGGTCAATAGAACTTTCTAGACTTCCTTCTTACACGAGGCTGGATGCACAGTCTAGAATATTCTTTAGTTGGTCTTCACAGAAATATGTCCTGAACAATGTTCAGACATCCTATCAGACATTGTATCCAACTTCAAGCAAGCAAACCTTCAGCAATTTAGTCAAGGATGTTTCCCAGACTTCTTCATATGATCAGAGGCATGACCATAATGCCTTCATCTGAATTCTCCAAGTGCATTCCTTTCACTTAGAATTAGTGTCACACAACACAAAATGACAAAAAATCAACTCCAAAAAGAAGATGTTAGAACATCTTGTGGGACATTAAGCTCCCCCTCAACCTCACCAGTCAAATTCTCCCCCTTTTTAGACATAATATGCCAAACAAATGAGCATTTAAGAGAACAGTAGAAATTAGGAGTACAAAACGGAATATCCAAGTATCAAGCACATTCAAGTGCCAAAATAAACGAAGACATCAAAACACCAAACCAAAATGGAAATACCAGCATAATGTCTAACTGTCTTCAGGACCTGTAGACCTAGCAGCTTCAGAACTTCCTTCATTATCAGAATCTCCTCCCACTTTTTCACCAAGGTTGTCATCCCTCTTCAGATCCTTGATCATCTTTTCAGATTCCAGCTTCCCCGCTGAGCTAACTCTGATTACCTCATCAAGTTCTTTGCAGGCATCTATTAACTCAGAAATCATATCATCCTTGCTTGAGGTATTGTTTTCAGAGGATACAATGTCTGAGACATGTTTGTCTGAAGACAACTTGAAGTGAAGAGACAGAGCAGACTCCCTTTTGCATACCACGTCAATACCACAAAGAATCCCAGGGAGTTGATTGAGAATAATACCACAAATAAGAGAGGGAAAGGCACTGGGCATCTTGATTGCACAAGTTCTTGCATGCTTTATAGTCTGTTGAAAAATGTAAGCACCATAATCAAGCAACTTTTTATTTCCAACAGCATAGATAAATTTTTCTAAACCAACTGTAATGGTTGAGGTATGATTGGTAGGGATCCAGTTAGCAATTTCAATTCTATCCAGGCTCAAAACGCTCAACTTCAAGAAATGTTCTCGAACCTGTCCCAGGGGCAAGAAGAAGTGAAAGCTCTCCTCACAAGGGACATGGTCCTAGGGAATCCAGGTGGCGTAAGGAATGATCAATTGGAAGAGCTACAGATTGAGCTGGCAACAATGAAGATCCAGATGATGGGACAACTGGTGGGTCAGATGACTCTCATTCAAGATCTGGCTCAAAGGCAAGAGGAGCTCAGGGTCCTCGTCAACAAACTTCTTCAAGATAACCAAGTGGGGCAAACAACTAGGGTTGAAGATCAAGTCATCATTCAACCTCCTTTGAGACAAGAAGACAAGGGAAAGGCTCCCCAACTTGCTTCAGGGTCACAAGCCCAATAACAACCTCGTCAACGCCAACGGGGTAATCGGCATGAGCAAAATACGCCTGGAAGACAGTTCACTGAGACCGATATACCATCATCTCTAATACCGGAACGCTTGTTGGAGGTCAATCTGATTGCTTTAAAGGATCCTCTTCGGAATCCCAACACCTCTGCTCCTAGCTATCACCCTGATGCCTTTTGTGTATACCACTCCTATAGCCCTGGACATGACACCGATGACTGTTGGGCTTTGAAAAATAAGATCCAAGACTTGATTGACAATGGAGTGCTGAAATTCATGCCGGATGGCGAGATGAAAATCTTCCGCTAAGGGTTCTCCACCTGGAATGACAAAGTTTGAACCAAGAGACTTTTGTTCCTTTTGAATTTTCAAGTTGTAATTTCTTTTGATTATTCAAACAATTATCTGTTGATGTCAAACTCTGTTTCATTAATGCATTGAAAAGATAATTGTTTGAATAATCAAAAGAAATTACAACTTGAAAATTCAAAAGGAACAAAAGTCTTTTGGTTCGAACTTTGTCATTCTAGGTGGAGAACCCTTAGCGGAAGATTTTCATCTCGCCATCCGGCATGAATTTCAGCACTCCATTGTCAATCAAGTCTTGGATCTTGTTTTTCAAAGCCCAACAGTCATCGGTGTCATGTCCAGGGCTATAGGAGTGGTATACACAAAAGGCGTCAGGGTGATAGCTAGGAGCAGAGGTGTTGGGATTCCGAAGAGGATCCTTTAAAGCAATCAGATTGACCTCCAACAAGCGTTCCAGTATTAGAGATGATGGTATGTCGGTCTCAGTGAACTGTCTTCCAGGCGTATTTTGCTTATGCCGATTACCCCGTTGGCGTTGACGAGGTTGTTGTTGGGCTTATGACCCTGAAGCAAGTTGGGGAGCCTTTCCCTTGTCTTCTTGTCTCAAAGGAGGTTGAATGATGACTTGATCTTCAACCCTAGTTGTTTGCCCCACTTGGTTATCTTGAAGAAGTTTGTTGACGAGGACCCTGAGCTCCTCTTGCCTTTGAGCTAGATCTTGAATGAGAGCCATCTGACCCATCATCTGGATCTTCATTGTTGCCAGCACAATCTGTAGCTCTTCCAATTGATCATTCCTGACGCCACCTGGATTCCCTAGGACCATGCCCCTTGTGAGGAGAGCTTTCACTTCTTCTTGCCCCTGGGACAGGTTCGAGAACATTTCTTGAAGTTGAGCGTTTTGAGCCTGGATATCTTCGACAGTTCTCTCTAGAGCCATCTTTACTTGAAATAAACAGTAGGAGAATAAGGAGACCTGAAAAGGAAAACCTGTTATGATACAATGCATGATATGTGGATGCATGTTTTCAAGAATCTCGCGAGGTAAACACAAGAAAATGTTAGAGATTGAACTTTGATCAACATCTTTGATTGGAGAACTTTGTATCGGTGGATGTCTTTCCACGAGAATCAAGCTCACCATGTCGAGTGGGTCATAGCCCCTGATTCAAGTTGTTGCACTTGATCTT